CATATTATATACAGACAGTCCCGCGGTTCACCGGGCCGGTATATTATATTCGAAATCGCTACCGCTCTGACGCGCGATGTAAATGGGTCAGCGGTGGCGGTGCCGTCGTCGGGAATAAATACGATCGAACAATACGGTTTTTCTCTCTCTCGCTCTCTCTCTCTCTCTCCCTCACCCTCTCGCCAATACCACCCTACCCCCACCCGTTCCAAATCTTCCGTCAGTTCTGGCCCTTTTTTCTTTTCCCCCCTCCAACCCCGTGGAATTATACGTTCGCCGGTGACGCTTTTAAAAACGATCCCGAAACTCGTTTATCCCGCGGGGCCGTCATCGGTATAGAAATCGACGAAACAGTTCGGAATTTGATATATTATTATAATGATTCTCGATTATGGATTTTATCTTACAGAAAAATTAAAAAAGAAAATTAATTTATAGCTTTTATTATAATTAATATCATAACCGTGTCTTCACGGGATGAAATTTTTGATGAATTATCGCTCTCATAAACGTTCATAAATTTAAAAAAAAATAAAATCACAAAACCGTTACGCCGATAAAATCACGAGAACACGGCTGTTACTGTTTATACAACGTACTTTGGTATAATACCGATACGGTTTAACGTTTATTGCGTATACATTTTCTTTTTATTCTCAGTTTATGCGGTTGAATTTCTATTTTTATTCTCTTTGGTTTCGTTTTCGTCTCGCAATGTGTCCTTCCGGTCTTCCCGGCTGTACCGATGACATACCGACATTATATTATTATTATTATTATTGTTATTATATGTTACCCGAGTTTTATTTTATTGCATCGTGTCGTACATACGCTGCCGAAAGTAAATTCATGTTTATATTTTTTGTCCTCTTCGAAATCTGACGGATAAACATAATATGTATACAGAGCAGAGTCACCGTCTATGGCCCGTAGCATTCCTGCTATGGCCACAAATTTTTACCTATTTCATTCGTAAATAATTTAATTTTATGAAGTCATATTATGTTTATTGTTGTATTTGTCTACGTCAAATATAATTTGTCACGTGGTATCCATACCATTATGCAATAACATAAAAAGCGTAGGATAGCCATAGAAATCGAAAATGTGATTCTCAAATATTAATATTTATTTTTTCCATTCCATAATATGTTTTTAAGACTTAAAATTCAAGCTATCGTTTAGTTTTGAATGTGTCAGAATGTCTATACAATAACTAATATAATATTTAATACATATTTTAATCTAATATTATAATATATAAACGTGTTTTAAGATAATGGGGACAGGTGCAACCACTATTATAGGTAATTTTATGTGAACCTGTAAGTAACGATAGACCATTGCTCACGAAAAAACGATCCTGAGCTAAGTTCAGTTAATAGTGATGCTCGTCAATAATATACATGCCATATTATAGTAGAATAATTAAATAGGCATTATATATTTTCTTTAATAATATTTGTTTAATGTACCGATTTTCCTACGTTTTTCCCGGTTGTTCACATTTTCTGGGAAAACTCTTAGGATAATCGGAAAATGTTCTCTCCAAATTATCTCCCTGTCAGATTTTCTTTCATAAAAATTGCTATCATTGTAATTTAGAACAAAATTATTTGTAGAAAAGTTGTACATAGAAAAAAAAACTGTAATATTTTTAACCAATACTTATAGTTGCTATCATTACCTATCAATGTCGTACATTTACATGGTTTCCTCGGTGTTTTTTTTTTATTTTTCTTATTTATTGAGAAAACTACAAAGGTAATTGAAAAATACCTTTTTAAAGTACCTCTCCAGTTCGATTTTCTTTCAGAAAAGGTGCTACACTTAAAAATCGAAGAAAGATTTTTAGTAGAAAAGTTGCGTACACATAACAAAAAAAAATAAAAACATCTTTTTAAAACCATAAGCTTCTTCGCTCCACTCAGATTCTAAAAACGACTCAATCTTCTCTATCTATATGAATTGAATTAATTATAATGTATAGTTTTAAATGGTGTAATTTGAGATTAAAAAAAGCGTCGGGCATTCAAAAATAAAATATTAAATAACTGCAAAAAAAAAAAAAAGAGAGTGAAATTTGTATACGAAATTTAATTCAATTTTGACGGATCGATGCTCGGAAAAATAAAATAAAAGATTTCGTCATCGCCTTTCGTAGAACGTAAAAATAAGGTGATGGACCGAAAAATTATATATATATATATATATATATATCGACCGTTAACCGCACGTGTTTACGTGTCGGACCTTAGTTTATAGATGATTACCTAAAGGCGCGCAATCAGCCTTGTAAAAATGAGCTTCGAAGAGTTTGGCCTGTTGAACAATATGAAAAGAAAAAGGCGATCATGTTAAAAAAGACACATCTATGGAACAAACGGCGTTGTATTAGGTAGGTCGAATTCAATTTCAGTTTTGGAGAAATTTTATTTTAGTATTTTCCACTTGCACATGAATTACATATTATAAAAAACAATCAAATGACCATTTTTTTTTATATATTTTTTGTGGCCATTTGTTTTTGTGTTTTTAAAATTTGTTAACAACGTATGATATATATTTAGTTCTAACACTCCTCCCTCTCATCATACATTATGGTGCACATGACCTGTTTCTTGATCAATAACGTTCGATGCAGAGCTCTTCTACCTCCATATGTTTTAATATATTATGTATATACAACATAAGTATATAATTTTTTTAAATTAGACATCCTTTTATAAGGTTCAAAGATAATTCAATATTGCATTATATACAACCAACAACTACAAAAAAATCTGCCACATGTAAACCCTACGGTGTAATTAGGGTGAATATTATTTTTAGTATAATTAAATTCTGTTTTTATTTTTTATTTTTATATTACTCACAAGGAAGAGGACAACAAATATTTATATTTGAATTCATTTTTTTTTTATTTTCGGAAAATTTTAAAATAACCGTTCTGTAAAGTTTATTTTTCTAAAAATTTTAATGTACACACACCGATATTATGTAGGGAATAACCAGACCGTGTTACGCGATAACACCGGTTTTCACACGGATTAGTGGAATTTAAAATGGCTGCTATTTATAAACTATTTATCGGATATAAACGTGTTATACATTAAAGTTGAAAAAAAAAGCAGAATTTGATTCATTTTATTATCTCCGGAGGTATTCAAAGAGTATATATTCGTGAAACGGCCTGTATATATATATATATATATAATATGGTACTTTTTAATATCTTTGATTACCATTTGATAAATTAAAGTTCGTTACCAGTTATTATACGTTAAAACACAAGCGGAGAAAATATTGTCAAGTATTGTGTATGGCTACGTCACGGTGAATATAACCGCAAGGTCACACGCGATGTTAAAAAAACCCTTAAACTAAAGAATACTAAGTCACCAACACATTTTAACGATACAATTTTTTTCGTCATACTAAGTACTGCAATTTGAGCCAAATCAAATTGGTTGTGTTTGATAGTCCTTAAATTAAATTTTCAAATAAGAACGGGGTTTTTTTTTTTTTTTTTAAACTTTTACATTATCTTCTTTCTAATTTCCATCCGTTTCAAGCATTGGCTTTTAGAGGACTGTCTCCAGCCACATATAAATTGCCGTTTCATAATATATGATTCACTGTTAAGAATTCAACGATCTTATTATTGTTATGCAATTTAATTGGAAATTGACTATATTTAAATTATTAATAACACTTATAATAAATTAAAGTTATAGATTTCAGGTTTTTATGGAATAAAGTTATGAACTATAGAGTAGGTAGTGAATACGCGCTGATTAAAAACCATTAGATTAAAGTAATAAAACGCACAACTTTTATTTTCAAACATAATTTAATCCTTGCAGGTTTAAAAACTTTTAAATTACCATCTTACGAAACTTGAACTACTTAACAAAAAAACCATACAACGGATATTTTCTTTTAATCTTAATTATTTTAATAGGCAATTTTTTTACTTTGTTTTTTTTTTATGATTTGACTTTTTATAATTGTGTAAAACTTAGATTACAATATTAGGTTATAGGTTAACAATAACGACAGTAAAATACAAAATAGTATACCTACCGCATAAATTTAATAGATCGAGTAAAATTAAAAAATAAAAAAATAAATTGTTTAAACTTATTATAAACACGTTCGAAATTGAACAACAAAGAAGAAAAGACGAAAAAAAAAATAAACTCTACTTTTTGACATTTAATAATATACATGCAGCAACATGGTACAATATCATTGTGTATAAAACTACATTTTTCTGCGCCAGAACATTAATCGTACTAACATGTGTATTCTACTCGTGTACGGATATTAATATTTATAAGTCTTGGAAAATGGTAAAAAAAATATTTATCTACAGAAGGTTTCAACGCTCAAAAATTTATTCACGACTGTCTTAACATGCATAATATGCACCGTCAGTTATTTTAATTTAAAATAATCGACACTGAAGTAAATAAAATTAGAAGCATAATGTTAAAATAAAACTGTTTTAAACGTGTCCGCAGTGTAATATGGCCATTTTTTATATACGAAATAATTTATTTTCCATCGAGATTTCAGTTATTCTATTAAAATGATTACCGCGATCGTTTAAAAATGATTAAATTGAAGATTGCGTATTTAAATTTTGAGTTTAATGGACAATGTCGGCGCATCGACGGAGAACTCGAATACCGATGACGTATGTTGGCCGCTTGATACTTGCGCTTATGATACCAATAACAAAGTGAAGGAACTAATCTACTTAAAACAACACACGGTGTAATATTGGTAATCAAAATGTATAATATAAAGCAACAATTAGACAAAATATTAAACCAGAAACCATACACCTGAAGTTGATAAAACAAAGAGTAAGATTTCTAGTAAAAGTTGTGAACAGACAGAACTAAACGTAGTTCCTGTGAATTGAAGCTAGTTATAACTACGATTATTGAGATAATTTTCCAGGAAAAATCAAATTTTGCCTGGAAGACATAATGTTTAAATTAAATAAACAGCTACATTGGAAAATACTTTTATGGCGTACAAATCTTTCGTTTAAAGTCAGCATAGTGATGATAACAAGTGAACTTTTCATCACAAATAACGGTTCAGTACCTCTAAAATACAACTTGTACACCAGTGACTTACCTAATACAAAAAGCCAGAGATTCTACCATGTTGATGACTTTGCAAAAGCTATCCAAACAAATTCCCCGAAGGAAGGAGAACATATATCTACAACAGACCTCGAAACACAGAATTGCTTTTGTCAAGGTGGGAGTATCTGTCTTAATCCTTCTAGAATAGAATTATGTTCCTTCTATGTCAACAACTGAATGGCGAAATATCAAATAAATTTTACCTTCTGCGATGAGGTTATAAAATCGTGCACTAACATGCAAATCTCATATAGATAAATCAAGTCAGTATTTAAAAACTCGGAATAACGTACTATGAAAATTAATTCTTAGATGGGATCAAACCACATTACTTTTAATATCTCTTGCTTTAATATACTTTGCATTTGAATGTTACACCCTTGCATGTCAGTATTAACAGCACTTTTGTTAAGAAGGTTGATGTACATCTGAATAAGAGTTTGTGACTACAGAGAAACTATAGAAAACATCATTCACTACTGCTTAATTCGAAAATTTTCAGCAACAATGAAAAAAATTGTTATTTGTATCAATAGTATTTTAGCTAAAAGTTCTGGCCTTATGAATATGGTATAGATTAAATTCGATTACCAGTATTAAATTTTTTGTTTATTTATTAAATATTATTACTCATAATTGTATCCTCGTTTTACAATGCATTTTACCAGTCAACATTGTTAATAATCAAAACTGTTTTATATTATACCATATAAAAACAAAATGATAATTTTAAATTACACAGTTCATAATGAAAACGCGTTCCAGTGGGTGGAGTTTCATTTCGAAGACAGAAACGCATGAGATAATAAACGGAATGTTTTAATTGGCTGTCCTCGGATTGGAAATTCGTTCTCTCTGACACTAGTCATTAAATCAGACTATCTCTATTGATTCGCTTGGACCGACCACGACTCCCAGTCCTCAAAATGAATGTTCCAACTAGATGAGTCTATGGGTAAATACGACCGCCGAGTAAGCCCCTATTACTCGCCCGAGCAGCAAACGAGACGAATGCGTGCAGTTACGCTGCCACCACCGTGGGAGCTTAGGCAAAGAGTGGGGGCTTACTCGACGGCTGTATAAGAGGACTGATGGTAGAGTGTGACGGCAGCGGGTTACGGTAGCACGTACAATTTTTCAGTTCAGATCCTCCCATAAGAAGCTTCACTTCAAAAACACTTGTGAGCAACAGACCTCCGTCATTAGAGTCGAATTTCTCTCCGACTATTTTGCATTGTAGAACTTTGTGGAACAATGAATAACTGAAAACTAATAATATAATATACTAAACTACATTGCAATAACATATTATACTAACTTCCAAAAAAAAAAAAAAAAAAATAAAAAATTAGATCATACAAATAGTTGGGATAGTAGCTGAAAATTGAAATCTTCCAAAATGCGCATCATTGATAGTACCTACGTCATAAATATACAAAATTTCATTCCTTTACATTTTTTTGGAGTGCTGTAGGACTGAAAAAAGGCCAAACAATTACTCTCTTCCTACAAAAATCAGACTGAGTTCAGCCCAACTTATCAATACAGTCAGCCTAATCTAATTTCTTAATTTGGACTCATTTGGTCTCGAACGGGCTGTTGGAAATTCCCAAAGATAACGGGAAAAATATGTTACAATATAAGTACCCGATACAGTACAATAGTTTCGATGTTTTGGAGAACGTTTAACAATACGTTACGGATTTATATTTGAAAATATTGCATGAGATTAATAATAAAAGTTTTCCGAGCCGAAAAACGCACCGACACCGGGCCTCTTAAACGTCTCGTGTACAATATATTTTGCCGATTCAAATTTATTCGCCGAGACGTAATAACAATAATATTTACGCTTGAACCTTAATACGCGCAATCAGCGGCTAGAATAAAATGAATTATTTATGTTATACATAATATTATATAGTGTTCTTACGAGTGTGTATGTTATGCGTATAAAAATAACAAGTTTACACGTTTCCACGTCCCGCGGGTGTCTCGTTAGACCTGTCCGGAGCAGGGGGCAGATGAGTATTATACTATATACAGAGATAAATAGCAACAGCAGCAGTGGGTTACTCTGCAGTGTAAAACGCTGGCGCGAATAACTTTTTTGTACGCCGGTGAAACCGAAGGAAGTCTTAAAATTCCCGAGGACTGTGCGAGTGTGTATGTAAGTATGTTTATACATATATGTATAAAGTATATAGTTGTGCGACGGCCTACGGGAGAAAAGGCGTTTTCTTGTCAAAAAGTTACTACGGTACGCATTATCGTGTTTAACGTGCCTACGTATATATACAGGTTTCCCTAACAACAATTACCTCCTGTTTTACACACGCGAGATCCACTTGTTCCTGCAGTTCTGTATAATATTATATACAATGTCCCTAGAAAAAGTTGTTGGTATATTATTATTTATTCGAGTGTACAAACAATACGTATTTATTTGTCTCCTTTGTATATAATTATACTGTTGTTGTTATTATTTTAAAAAAAAAATATAAAAACTTAACGACTATGAAGATTATTTTATAATTTCAAAAAAAAACAACGGCGAAAACACGTCGGAACTTCGGAAACGAGCGACCGAATTGAAATATTACATTCAATATTACTAAAGTAATTGTAATTTTTACTTCCCGCAATAAATTACTATTAATTTTTATTGATAAAGCGCTATAATTTTAAAACTAAAAGCCATGCGCCGCTAAAATTGCATTTATTAATATACACTTACAAACAATTATTATTATTGTTAACTACGAGATAATAATATTCTCGCCGAAGCAGCAATAGCATAATATAATGCGATCTAAATATAAACGCATACACATATAAAAAACGAGGAAAAAAAACCAGTAGGTAATATTCCTATGACTACTTAGCAGATAACGATGAATTATTGCGTACACCGTATTATGTTTTAAACAAATATAAGTAAAATTAATTGACCATTATTTTAACGCCAGGCGTAATATTTGTCGCGAGCAATTATTACTTAGCTATTTATACTCGAAGTAAACGCATTATTTACGTTTCTTCTTCTGCATTGCGCGTCATGTATGCGATATTTATTTGGGCTTGGCCGCAGGAAAACAAATTCACAATTTTAGTGTACCTACTTGTTTTTTTTTTCTTTTACTACACGGTTCCAACTATATTGTAATATGATGACATTATGTCAACGAAACATGTTCAATAGTCTCGTTTCGAAGCTTTTCCTTTCGGTAAAAATGCTCCGAATTATTCACACTGTACTTCAAAAAACTAACTGTATTCGAAATCCCATTAAAACAATAATGATAATAAATTGGTTGATTTCAACGAAGTACTGAAAACGAAAATGAATAAAACAAATCTTAATAGTGATGCATACGAATACAACAGTGCAACGCCTTGGTATAACTCGTAACAATACCAATATACTTACTCCCATCTGACAGTTGCGTTCTCCTAGAAGAAGTTTGAACGAATACAGTAATTAAATATTATTTTCACGGATGGCTTCTTTCCGTTTATATAAATTATGGCTAATCCGTTAGAGAAATTTGCTTGCATAGCGCTTTTTCTAAAACAAGAATTTCACACGCGGTTCAGTGTGGACAATTGCGGCAAAATTCGTAATTATTCACATCCAAACCGTAAAATAGTGTACATACATAAACATATTTATGTGCACTGTTTATGTGGGTGCGCGCACTATACTTGGCTACGTCACTGAATATAATATACATACATGCCAAATGTCTCACGTACAGCAGTTGCAGTCTATCCAGGGAACGACGTAACGCCGGTCTGACTTTTTTATTTCCACGTTTGTTTAATACGTAGTAATTTTGTATATTTTATCGAGATACTCTACGTCATCGTCGTGAATCATAACTATACGTTTCCGTACCTATATAATAATATTATTATGATCACTGCAGTTGTACGTTTCGTTGCGTTAAATCCTCACGAACAAAATTAATATTAAAAATCTGTAGCCAGCGGATCGGAAAAAAAAAAAAAACATTGCATTGCGATAGTAGTGTTATAATATATTATATAGTCATATAGACACACACACATACATATATATATATTCCAAAACGCGCAGATGGTTATGAATCCAATTTTTATAAAACGTATCGAATCCGGGATAAGTGTCACCTGCGCGGTAGAAAAAAAATGGTCGATATCTAATAGCAAATGACAGTGTTTGACGTATTATATTTTTTATATTTATATATTATACTATTCCCGACGAAAAATTGCATATATTAATATCTGCACGGCCATGGTAGAGTGGTGCCGTTTATTTATTGTTAACATTTTTTTTTTTTTTTATCGGACGGACTTTTCTCTTCATAAGTACTTTATTTCTACAGATATAAACAGATATTCGTGCGATTTTATAAATTATTTGTGCCGACAATTCGGCGTGTTCTTCCAACTTTCTCTAATGTAGTTTGGTATACTATCCATACGTTCATGACGAATTACAATATAAACTGACATTAATATCATGATTATGTTCGGTGTACGCGAAACGGACAATGAAAAGAAAAACCACCGAGAAATATGTATTGTAATTCACTCGTACCGTATAGCTGATATCGAACAACACGAGTAAATAGTGAATAATAAAATGTAAAACACGTCAATGCGAACTCGACAAAAACGTATCTTTCGGGCTAATATTACTATGAAACATAACACGACCATCTGCGGTTTCTGCGGGCGCGTAACGTCGATTACGGGCGCGAACAATGGCGCGGTCGTAATATTTGAACCGCCACCGCCGTTATCAAGGAACCGTTCTGCACGCGCAGTCCGGTCGACAGGCCCCGTCGTCCATAGGTCTCGCAGACGAGTATAATGCCATTATTGTTATTATTATTATTATCATCGTTATTATCTTATTTGAAACTCTCTCGTCTCAACCGACGCACACCCTGTACGGTCCGCCGCTCGAGCCCCCCCCCCATATAAGGTCCATCGGTTATTCTAACTGTCGTTTATTCGCGTTACTTATTACGCGGCCGCGCCATAACATCGTCCGCCGAATGGCCACCGATCGTAACCAACACAGAACTTTCTATCACCCTCCCCCCACATCGCTCAAATACGACGACGACGAAACTATATACGGACCAAGACAAAGAGAACGAACCATCAGGAATACATATTATATT